TTCATATGTCGAGTTTGAATCAACACCACATTTCGCTGTGTTGATGCCGTCAGTTCATAAAATTTGCTCTCTCTCTCTGAGAGACATATACAGTAAGGCATATTGGCAAACATTTTCTATTTCGGTTTAGATTTTAAACCAAATTTTCTATATAAGAAACCTATAAACTAGAATTAAAATATTTTGGTTTTAATTTTAAACCACTCTTAGCAAAACATCATTTTCTCGGCTGCCTGGACTAAAATTTAAACCAGAATATATTAAAAATTGCTTAAAACTATTGACTGGTTTAAAAAGTAGACTATAAAAGATTAAAAAAGGCAGTAGTCCGAGCGCGGTTTAAAATTTAAACCCAATATTTTGACCGTGTAAGAAAATTGATAACTGCAGGTTTCACCAGCGATTCGAATGGGAAATGATTTTTTATTTTCTGTAAATTTCCATATAAAATTCAAAAAAATTAAAATAATTTTTCACTTAAATTGCTTTCGTGAAATTGGCTGTAAAAATTATTTTCATATTTCATAGAAGGTTTAGAAAAAACCATTGTCGAATATTTCCCCAACATTGAATCTGAGGATGTCTTCAGCTGGGTAACAAATCCGTCTTCATCTGACCCGAAAAGTAAACCTACTGAGATGACAAATCAAGCTTTTGAAAACTTTCTGAACATCAGTGAAGACAGCACTTTGAATATTAAATACTACGAAGGGAGCCAAGAGGGTTCAGGATGCAAGTGTATGCAGAAAACACTAGTGACTTTTAGGCCCATATTATGAGTTGCATTCGATTTTCGATCTTCGCTGGTTATTGAAAATGAAATTCGTATTATGAGCTATGCAACCGTGTCGAAATTTTCGTTGAGTATCGAATTTTCGAACAGAATTTTGCTTTCGATGGTGTAGCAAAGTGTTACAAAATTTTTAAAAATGTATGATTTTGTCTTTGTTTTCTTACTTTTTGGCGGCTAGACACTAATTTTAAACAAACGCTCAAAAACGCCTCTTTAGACAGTCGGAAGTTTTTAATAAATCTGTAGACAAATTTCTTAAGTATATTTTATGTCAAAATATATTCTAAAGACTGCACTTAAACCCTCTTAAACATTTTCTACTCCTGGCCAGTTTACCAGGCTCTCATCCTCTGACGAATCGTTGAACCAGAACTCTGTTGTACTCTTACCACGTTTTTATAAACTCACGTTCTTTTTTATTTCATTTTAATTTGCACAAATTTGCATACATATGTATAATCACACTATTTAGTTTGCTCGAGTTGTAAACAAAGCTTCTCACCGGTGAAAAATATATTATTATGAACAAGCGCTATTCTTCATCGAATAAGCGTCATAATACCAAATGAAAATTCGTTCCATCAGCACTTTCGACCACAGTCGAAGATCGAATGCAACTCATAATAGGGGCCTTACTTTTACATTTCTATGTGAGACTGCATTTTCAACAAATGCTTATATGAACAAGTAAATTTTAAGCAAAAAACAAAACCGACTTCAATTCCCATATAAAAATTTAAGATTATCGTTAATCTATTCATGATCTAATGATCGGATTTAAACCGAATTAGAATGGGACCACCTGTGAGGTAACAACTTTCCTTTAAAAAAAGAATTATAGTAATCGGTTAACGTGGTCCAAAGTTATGCGGTAACATATGTACATAAAAAAAAAAAATAATAAAAAAAATATTCCGACGAATTGATAACCTTCTCCTTTTTGTGAAGCCGGTCAAAAACAAATACACCAGCAAGCTTTCAGCGCCAAATGATTTCAGGGTAAAATTGCCAAAGCTCCCAATAAACTTAAAGGAAATATTGAAATCATCAAAACAATTTCAGCCCTTACATTAAAGCTAAAGGAGCTAATAATTTACCTCTTAAGGAAGTACATAGTACTTCCTCAGCAGAGACATCAAAATACCATTTAAGTGAGATACAAATGTTAACAAAAAAAAATAATACAGCAATGAATTAATTAATTGAAAAAGTTTGTGTTAAATGTAAATTATCCAATGATCAAGGAATCAGTAATTTTATTGGCATCGTACGTCCCACCCAATAGCAATATTGATATATATGATAAGTATTTAGGTAATCTAATAGATATGAGTGATAGTGCTAATGATTTCGATGAAATAATATATCTTGGTGATTTCAATCTTATTAATATTACTTGAATAGCTGATAATAATATTTTCTTACCGTCACATAAAAAGTCTGATATTGACTTACTTGATACTAGAGCTCTATTATGGTATGGGGCTTTAACCAAATTAACTCTGCTTTAAATGAGGGAAATATCATATTAGATTTAGTATTTACTTGTGCCGAATTGAGTACATCTTGTGTGGATTGCTTATTCCCTATTTTCCTATTTCGAGTAAAACACCTCATCAAAAATTAAAACATTGTATCATGTTATGTTCCTGTAAGGAATTTATCCCTACGTAATAAACCTCCTTGGTTCAACTCCAGGATATATCAGTTGAAAAATGCTAAAAATAAAGGGTACAAAAAATTTAGGATATAAAACCTAAGTACAGATAATCAAAATTTTCTTCGATTAAGAAAATAATTAAATTAACTGCATAAATTTTTAAATAAATAGTAGAACCAAAGTTCAGATTAATCCTAACAGTTTTTGGTATTACCTTAAGTCCGCAAAATAAACGGTTACCCTAATCACAGCGCACGGCAGTGCGCGCGAGTGACGAAAGCAGCAACAGTAGCATGCTGAAATGACTCGCTTATATATACATGAGATTTGGAAGATTTTATCCGCTTGCGTTGTGTATGGAAAGACTAAAGAATTTGCCCGCACCACTAGTATACTCTAGCCACTAGCGGCGCCCAAGGCATACGCTAGCGGCACCCCAGGGTGCCGCGTCACCCACTTTGGGAAAGCCTGCATTAGACCATGTCAAAAAAATAAAACTCCTGCAATGCGAACCAGTCTGACTCAGAATTTAGTATTTAATGATCCTCCATGAATCTCCTCTCTCTACGGTAATTCTAAGAGATCGCACATTGAGTGTTTATTTTTCCCATATGAGTTACACGTAAGAAAATGAGTTAGTCTCTTTTCACCGCTTAATTGTCCCCCGGTTTATTGATTTCCCCGCTATTGCATGAAAAATCCATGTCAATTTTCCCGCATAATTGAACCCGGTTATTTAGTTTCCCCGTATAATTGGTTAAAAGATGTTGCATTGAAAAGAAATATACCTTCTCTTTTCCCCGGTTAATTGTTACTTACGTATATTTTATATTTTTTTATAACAATTATCTCTAAAAATGTGTGGACAAGTATACATAGATACGTATGAAAAATAATAAATTAAATTTTTTTTTTATTCCTTACGCTTTTTCGTTTAAAGTTTAAACTATGTAAATATCATTAAATTTAAAATGCACACATGCATTTTCTTTTAATTGCTTAGGTTGTCCAATTTAGCGGAATTTCTGAAAGTGAACAAACTGTTCAATTATCAAATATCGATGAACAAAAATTTTAGCCATTTTTGAAGTGCAATTAAGCGGGGAATACTGTATATGAATACACTGATTAGATGCCGTTTAAGTATTAGTTATGCATGCTCAGATTGTTTAAATTCCGAAATTAACCTGTTTAATCGCATGCACTGTTTGGGTCAGATCTAGTAATAACTATTAATTATCTAGTAATAACTAGTAATTATTATTTTTTTTTGGAATTCAAGGAATCTGAGGCTGCATACCACTTTAATGGCACATAATCGGTATATTTTAACAGCTTCGAACGTTTTTATTGGTCCTAGAAAATTATATTTACCTCAAAAGAGAATAACGATCTGCGACCTCTAAAAGTTATCGTAGACGGGGTAGATTTATGAAGGATCACTACCATGTCAAATATTAAAGTCAGGGTCGGATTGCGGTCGCATTGCAGGATGTTTATTTTTTTGACGTGGTTTAATGCAGAGCTTCTCATAGTGTGTTCCGCCGAACCCAAGGGTTCCGTAGAAAAGTCACCGGGGCTCCGCGAAATTAATTTTGGTATGAATAAGCGCGGTGGTCGGTTTAAGTTGCACACAGAAAGAAAAGTTCTATAAACAGTTTGACCCAGACGTAATTATCTATTTTCAAGTATACGTATATACTTGTAGTTGGTACATATGATTGCCGTACTGAGTGCCATACCTAAATAAGAGCGTTGAGCTTGCGCTTGCCACCTTGTTTTTTTTTTCTAACCGGCATGTGTTGTTGGCCGCTGTAGCCAAAGGGTTATATACAACTTCTTAAAGGAACGCGACGAATTGCCAAATGAAATGTGAAATGTCATAACTGAGCACTTGGTAAATCACCTGAAATCTTTGTCAGATTACTTTTCGGATGATAGTAGTAATATCGGTTTGGTACAAAGCACATTTACGAAGCATTCATAGATCTCCAGAGTACTTCGACATTGTAACGCACATTTGGATCTGTGTCTCTAAAAGAGTTTTGGGTTAGTGTTAAGAGTAAATATCATGAAGTCATTAAAACGACCATCTTAACTTTGCTTCCTTCTGTCACAACATACTCTGTCAACAAGGATTTCAGCTTACAACTACCCCAGAAATGCGCATACAGCTTTCAGACATTATATCGAACTGCTATTTTATACAATAATTACTAACAATGAAACAATTTCATTCTTCACATTAAAATTTAAAGTATGTATACTATTTCTAGTAAAGGTTTTTATTCATATTTAAATTGCTCTGCCTTTTATTTTTAGTAATTTGATGTGGGGTTCCATAAAATGAAATGTGGTTAGTAAGGGTTCCATCATCTTAAAAGTTTACGAACCCCTGGTCTAATGAACATAAATTTTTTAGCAGAATATCAAAGGGGTTACATTCTGCGACATACTACTACCTCCGAATTTAAATTTAAAAAAAATTAAATGTGTATATTTTTTTCTTTCAGGCAAATGTTTACACATCGAACTGGCAAACCGTCATAAGGCCTCTTAGTGAAAGCCCTATTCTGGAGTTAGCTGAACATTTGGAGTCTGTTTGATCATTTTATAATTAAAAATTTACATACTTAATTCGTATCGAAAGCAAGAACAATAAAATAATATCAATTACTTAATTGCATTTACACTTTAATAGTTATAGTTATTATTGTAAAACCATGCATAATATGCTTAAAATAAACATCGACCGTTCTTATAAAAATACATACATTTGAGTTATTTTTTTATTTCATTCAAATACTTACATATGTATATACATATATGTACATATGGAGCATTCCATCTTCACGTACAGACAAAATCAACTACTTTTCTGTTATCGTAAGACGTATAGATTTATGTTTATGAGACACGTCATTTATTAATTTTATTCTATAGTTTGAACATTGGGCTTTGATTAAAAGAATTAGAAAAAAAAGACCGTCACGTAACAGACAGGTCGAGTCAGCCAATTTTAAGAATTGTTATATTTACATTCAAATTTCACCTAAAATGCTAAACAAGGACCACACATGTTTTACAAGAAAAGTCTAAGTAAGAACGTTGTTGCTTTTTATTATTATTATTATTACCTCCCTTTTATTAGCTCGGGATGTAACTATGTAATATTGATGCGCCTAAAAGATGCAGCGATTTCTATTCTCAAGTTACATACCTGATGACAGTACGAATGGAAATTATAATAGCGAGGTTTTAGTTTTTCAAACTATAATTTTATTTGTTGTCACGTACAGACAAATCACGTCACGTGTTCGACAGAGTTCATCTAAGTAGTTATTATTGTTAGTTATTTAAACTTAGATCACCGATCTTTCCTCTGATAGGATATGAATTCTGCACTTTACCTTTTTCTGGACAGCTTTAAGGCCTGCTCAAACAGGCGCGGTGCGATACAGCGCGGTATAATCCCGTACGATACGCGGTAACGATAGGCACTCAAACAGGCGCGGTGCGGTATAGTGCGGTATAGCAGGAAACATTGTTGCCATGTGACGAGCTCAAATTAACGGCACTCTACGCATTCCTCCTTCTAAATTTATACATATATTATAAATCTGATTTTCGCGATGGACAGCTCAAGCTCTGAGGACGAATTATTGCTATTAGCAGCACTTCTCGATGAAGAAAACAAAAGGTATGAATATGCCTACATCTTTGTTTTATCCTGCAAAGTTCTTAATTTATGTTTATGTTTAAGAAAAAGAAGATGGGTTCACGAAATAAATTTGAGAAGAAAAGAAGGTGGTGAATTTTCCAGCCTGATGCCCCAACTGCGGAACCACGAAGAAAGATTTTATAAATATTTCCATATTTGCGCTCCATTATGTACGTTTTGCGAAAGAATTTTAAATTCCAGTAAATTTACCGTTCATATTTCTGAGCAACATTGCCAGATTTGAAAAACATTTTTCAAACAAACGAAAAAGTCCAACTTTATTTTATTTACTTTGTGAGAAACAAAACCAAAGAATATCACATTTATGCCAACAAATCTATTACGAGCACTTTTAAACTAACGTTTTTTATAATGAAAAAGGTAGAATTTATAATCTATAACACTTTTGTAGATAAAATATGTGGTAGAACTCTAGCCCTAAGTTGCAACTCTGCTTACGATATATCTGCTTATACCGCGCGGTCAACTGTGCATGCTGCGGTAGAGTTCTGTACCGCGGTGTACCGCACTTCCAATACCGCGTCTGTTTGAGTGTTCCCATATACCGCCATGGTATTTGATACCGCATATCGTACGGGATTATACCGCACTGTACCGCACCGCGCCTGTTTGAGCAGGCCTTTAATGTAATGAAAATTCGAATCCTCAGGTATCGGTTTGGCTTTTTGCCATTCCAAAACAGCCTGCATTTTTTTTTTTAATTTTTGGTGACGGAAGATAAGTAACACGGGTCAGTGAAAACTTTGCCTGATTGGATTAAAACATTGTCATATTGGCTCATAATTTTTTCTCACTAGTTTTTTCGTGCCTCCGCCAATTACATCTATCACCGTGTGACAGTGCCAATGTAGAGTCCGATCGATTCCCAGTTTTTGGCCGATGCCGATGCCGATTAATCGGCCTTAGGACAAGGATGCCGATGCCAATTCCTTAAAAAACTACCTGAATATAAATTCATTAAAGAACAAATGTTTTTGATAAACTTTTATAGAAACAACAGAAAAACATAAAAAATAACATTACTAAACAAATAATCATTCAAGAGTCTATTCACTTATTTATGTATGTACATACATACATATGTATTAAAAGTAATATAGCGCCTATGCATACATAGCATTGCAATACTTTGTTCCATAGTCTTTTTCTTCAATGTTAAAAAAATTTTCGAACATACTTTGTTTGGGGTCATTCCATTGAAAAGAGGAAAACGACAAAATTTAAATATGCCCTAATTATCTCTATTTCAGTAGTAACCTATTTTTAAATGACTACATTTCATTAACCTGTGGTAAAATATTAAAAAAATTAAAAGAAGTCACAACTTTAAATATTTTTTAATATTTCTATGAAGATTACATAAACCTCATTTTTATTGAAAACGAAAGCGTATAATTTATATTTTACAACACAAATACATCGTTCGTGAAAATTAAGTGTTTTGGCTAAAATTCATCTTCGAGTGCACAAGGGTAAAATAGAGTTATTTTTAGTGTCCCACTAGTCACATTCATTCAAATGATAGTTACATAAAACTAAGAAATCGCTTGGTATTTTTGTTAAAGCAATTTGAAACATTAGTTATCGTTCTATGTTAAAAAATATCTTTCACTGTTGTGTAAGTTCCGACGGCATAGTTAAAATTCACAATTACTCACATTCTGGAGTAAAATGTCCCACTAGTCACAATGGAATGGCCCTTTGGAAGAAAATGCGTGAACAAAAAAATGTCAAAAATCAACACTTACCTAGCTACTTCAAACTTGCACTTTATTATACTAAAGTTTAGAAAACTGCGCACTCAACAAAATTCTAAAAAATCGGATTAAACAGTTTCAAATGTTGATGAACTATTGTTAAAATTGCGGCCAAAAACGGCCTATGCCGATGCCGATTCTTTTGGCTGATACTAGCCGATGCCGATACCGATTAATCCGGTCGAACTATGTACGCCCACCTTCCTCATAACGGTATTTGGAAAAACTGTGGTATTTCCGTAAACACTAGATCTAAATTGTTGAAAGTTGGAATGTGAAGTACAATATTGGCATTAAATAAGCAATTATGAAATTTTAGAAAAATCGGAGTGGCACGGCCTACTTATGTATGGTGTAATGCTCTATCTCAGTAGCCTAGGGCTGCCATAAGCCTGAACCCATCGACCAGGACACTTATCATCCAAATCAAAAACGGAGATTCAAGTGAATATGGTGCCAATATATTCCTTGTACATAAGTACAGTTGCTTTGGTTCTGGCATTGCATTATTCTATAGATATAGATTTCTAATGACAAAAGTGGAATAAAATAGTTTTTTTTTAAAGTACCATATTTCGCTGATTTTGAACTGGGTAGTTCTAGTTACTATCGGAAAGGTGCATTTTTGGCGATAAAGATCTAGTACGGAGCTAGAAATTTGATTCTTTAGTTCGCGGGTATCTACTGCACCACAGCGACAATGAAGGCGCAGAAATGACATGCAAACACCTAATCTTATAAAAGCATAGTTGTTACCCACGAACGTGTACGTAGCGTGCCGTAGAAGTGCTAGGGATGTCAGTGGAAAAAATACATCGATGTTTTTCTTTGATTCGATGCATCGAAATGTACATTGATATTTTTCGATGCATCGACGGGCATACATCGATACATCGATTTGCATAGGATTTTTCAGATAATAAGTTCTTTCCCTAACAATCCGGACCGGATACGGTAATTAGAGAATAAGCGAAAAGTTTGCTCTCAAAAATGGAACAGAGTCCAGAAGTACGGGAACGCAGGAAAACCACATTTCGTGCTCAGAATTTGAGAAACAGCAAATTCGCGTTGTTTTTGCTTGTATCGCTTAAATGCAAACACTTGACAATTGAATTTTTGATTCACAAATTTTATTTTAAGTATATTAAGGTTTAAAATACATCAACAGGCCATTTACTATTCTTTAAAAGCACCAAGTAAATGCAGGCAACATGTAAACACAAAACAGCTGATATGCACTTTGACACTTTTATCCATTTTTAACCAGAGAAAAAGTTCGGGCTGTTTCGGGCAGGAAGAGGCGTCAGTTTTCAAAATTATCGATGCATCGACTATTTATACATCGAATGCAAAATTTTCGATGCATCGATGTTTTACCGACAACATTAAGAAGTGCGTAAAAACATATAAATTTGTCTGTTGCTATCAACAGATAAGAGAGATAAAGTATGTTCACATATAAATATAATCTTGTGCCACCGTGATCTCTTTTCTCTGCTATATTAAGCAATTTAAATATATCTAAACTTAATATTTTATTAAAAATACCTTTACAAACGTCTTTTCCTTGCTAGCGCCCATTTTTCTTTACTTTAACATTTGGCTTTCTCCTCTTCTTCGCAAAAATAATCGATAAAACTAGGTTGGACACCGAAAAGTTATCGGTTTAATCTGAGATTATATTATAATTACAGATAAACGAGGGACGAATTTTGTATGGCTAATCTCTTTTTCTAATTACGGATTAGGTAGTTAAGCTCGAAACTGAGGATAATCTACTTATAATTAAACCTAGTCATAGAGAACCAACGTTAACGTCACGGTAATGCTGTGGTGAGTTTTGTTAACACGCAGACCCCATAAGATAGACCGTGTAACTGACTACTAAAACCGGTGACTCAAGCTTTTCCTTTAAATCAAGGAATGAAACCGATTCAAAATAACGTTCCGGTTTGGGTTTCGGTTTTGCCAAGTATTTCGGTTTCGGTTTTGGTTTCGTTCTTCAAAATTTATTTCGGTTTTGGTTTCGGTTTTTCACAGAAATTTTGTTGATATTATTTAAATCACAATGTCTTAAACGTTGAGGAAAGAAAATCGAAAATTACAGTTCACTGATAATATCAACACTAGGTTCTTTCCCTAACAATCCGGACCGGATTTGGTAATTAGACAATAAGAGAAACATTTTCTTTCAAAAATGGAACAAAGTTCAGAAGTACGGAAACGCAAAAACCCACATTTCGTGCCCA